TCCAGCTGACGAGTCTCGAATAGGACGTAAAGCACATTCTGGATTCCACTGCTAGTCACTATCCACCTTTACTTAGAATGCATGTAAATTGAGGCAATATGCATAGTATACACATATGCCAATAATTGACTGATCAATTGTAGTCCAAAAATTATATGTTTATTATAGTTTCTCAATGTAACCGGTTTATGAATGAACCTCTTCTGTACTAAACATATTTAACTAGAATATTGGAATAGAGTGATGTAGTAGATGTAAACAGTGATATATTTAGTCACTTATTATTCAACCTTTTATTAGTCCTTATAAAACTTATTTCAGACAAATAAAGTAATTGATTATTAAAATTAATAAATATAAGTGTTAGGTGCTTTATTTGAATGCTTTCAATATAACAAAGCAATTTTCACTCACTATAAACGATAATTTTAATTTATAAGTATAGACCTATGAACTTCTTATGATTAGTCCCAGTCTAAACGCTTAAGAACTAACATAAGTAATTTATTGAAGGCTGAGATATGTATTTGCCCTATGAAGGCCGATATAAAGAGAAGAATAGTTAACGTACGTCTTCAGATATTTAAAGTGTAAAAGCAGATAAATGATATTCTATTTATTTCAAAGACAAAAAAATTACTTCTAGATCTTTCTTGAAACAAGATGAATCATGAAGAGAATTCATAATTGATATAAATTTATAACTTGATCTTCATAGTTGTTTCTTACTGTTGTTATTAGTATGGTGTAATTCAAATTGATTCAATTTATGCTACCTAGTGACAAATCTAGTCACTTCTGAAAACTGTATAAACTGTTCAAAATAACTGTTCTTCAAGTTTAATTTAAAAAAGAAGAAAAATTGGATTCTATCATTCGATTGTATCAGTTGACTTCAATTTGATTAAATAATGTACATCTAAAGAAATAACCTTATAATTACATAAAGAATAATAGTCGTATCCTTTACAAGGTCAAATGCAATAGGATATATGAACATTGGACATATATACTTATTCTAACTTACTTCGACCTTCGCCATGGAAATTCCGGCTTTTACTAAACATGTAGTCAGTTCCTGTCGACTGACAACACCATCTCCATTATTATCAAGCGCATTGAAAAGCTCCATTAATTCTTCAGAACTCAAACATCGAGGCATTACTTATAGGATATATGAATAAGTGGCTAGATGTTTTCTGACATTAGAAAAAAAGAAATATTTAACACAACTTAAGATCTAGAGTAACTTCTTTTTGAAAATTTAACGAAAAGATAGTCAAATTTACTGTACAAACACATAAATTCAACCATACTTTTTGTGTCAGAAGATTTGAGGAGACTGTAGTAATTTCAATAGTTGAGATCATGAGTTAATTGACGCTAAACCACCATGGAAAATCTGGAAGCATTGGACGGCCGTTATGTTTTATTGTGGGACTCCTCAGCAGTGCGCATCTACGATCCCGCTCGCGGGATTCAAAACCGAGACCTTTTTTGTTCTGTTCAACAAACAATCTTGTTTCACTTTTCAACTTAAGTGATTTAGTCAGAATTCAATATAAAACAGGTTTTCAAACAAAAACAGTAGATGTTTCCACTCAGTTCATTTTAATTAATTATTGACGATTAATTTATAATTTAATATTGAAACTAAAGTTTTGAGGGTTTTCTTCCAAAAATAAGATCCTTATTGGAAGAACACGTTAATCAAAATAATATTTAACTGTGAATAAACAAAAGTATTGGTGTCAAAGGGTATAACATCATTATTCAACGTTAATAAAATGTAATTAATATGACATTGAATATGAAGTTAAAATAAGGTCTTTATTATCATCTTTTTTAGTTAGCTGACTAAATACGTCACTTTAGATGATTTATTGAGTTAAATTTTTGAAATGATAAATTGGAGAACATTCAGACTCATTTGAACTGTATTCAACTAGTTTAATTTTGTATTAAGAGATTTGATTGGGAAAAATTATTAATTATCCTAGAAACGAAATTTGGAAAAAGGTTTCCTAAGAAAGACTGTTAATACTGAATAGGATTAAAACGTAATTCAGATGGTATATGATCAGATCATAATTTTTAACTGGATTTCACTGATAAATTCTACTTAAAATATAGTGTCTGTTTATGGTTAATTATAAACTAAACCACCAGAAAGTGATAAATTACTCCTCGTTGAATAATAGAAAAAGCTCTTTCCTATCTGAAGTGAAAGCTGATGATGGTGCCTAAAACACTGATAACATCCAACTCAGAAAACGTAATACTATCTATCTTATTTAAATATCGTAATTTCACAGCATGTGAGATTACAAAAACAAACCGTAACATAAGTAGTAAAGCGCTGAAACAGAGATCATAGTATGGTAGTTATCGCCTACAAAGAAATAAAAAAAATTGCAATTCAGAAACACGTTTGTTTATCTATATCGATCATGATGAGTTTTAATTTTACTAAGGTCTCTTCGAATTAAGTAAGTTATAACCAAAGATGATACATTGGCTAGATTTGACAAACAACAAAATTACTTCTGGAAGTCTGAAGAACAACATCCCCCAAATAACTCTAGATTACTTAAAAACTGTTATGTATGCTCAGTTATCAGATTAACAATGAAAATATTATCAACTTTAAAAGATCCCATATCTGTTAATGATGTTAGGTTAGACCACAAAAGTTTAAGTCATCCAACTCCATTTTAATGATAAGGTATGAGGTTTAGTTTAAGCGACTTTTAAATATGTTCCAATGATTTCGTGAAATGTAGGATACATAGATTTTATTAGTTTAAAGTTATGATGATAAGATGGTCGAAAATAAATACTCTTATTGGTTTGTGACTATTTTGATATTTGGTATGATTAGAGCATAGGATGTAAATTAAAACCAATTACTCAGTTTTCCCATATGGTACGTTCATTAACAAATTAAATGAAAAAAATGTTTCATAACCATAAACAATGGAACCCTGCTAGGATCAGTTCACTAAAATCACAAACTATGAATAAACATTTGATAGTTTAAGGAACCTATTTGAATGAAAATCTTATGACAGTGTTCATGTCATGAAAATGATATGTTGCCTACACTTACTGATGAAAATGTAGATGAGTTAATAATCAACTTACCAAGAAATTGTAAAAAAATAACCGTAATTTCAAAACCCTTTTTGATCACAACTAATCGCTTTTTATCAATACAAATTACTGAAAATAGAGTCTCAGATTTCTATCTTAGAAACAAGCGCAGTTGTTTGTTTAGTAAGCTGTCTAAAAAGCCACCAATCATGTGATTCTTCGAAAGACCTTGAAGTGTTAAAAACTCAAATGAGTGGTTAAAACTCAATGGCCTTAGCATGAAAGCAATATTTAATTTTAGTCATCATAATAGTAAAAATCTGTGTATTTAAGTGCGTAGGTGGGTATCTTCAACTTCATTACTCTGCTAACATCGAAAGTACTTCTCTTGAAATGATTTCCAAATAAAAGCTAAAACAGATATATAAGAACAACTAATACACTATAAATAACTAAAAGACATTTCTTAAAGCTTACAGTTATAAGCTAGACTAATACTTCTAATATACAGTCGTATATGGTTAATAAAAATTACCTCAAAAATATGACGACTACCCCAGTCGATAATGCTCTCATTGATATATATATGCATATATCGATTTGTACACACATTTGATTATTATTAAGGGAAACGTCACACTTATGAAATTACAGCAAAATTTCTTGCTACATGTTATACTGAACATAATTCATTATAAATTTAATATAAGAATATCATATTGAAGTAAATCAGTGTTATACTCAATAACACAGCACATTAACAACGAAAAAATAATAAACTGAATAATTATCACACCAACTAAAAATTAAAGTAGTATTCAGCAAGAACCACAATGAGTTAGTAATGTAATTTTGCATATTTTTTATCCCGTCATATTAGAATAATAATGATAAATCAGTATTTTCATCGATACTAATTAATTAATTAACTAATCGATTAATGTTTACACTAACGGGTTTGTAAATTATATATATATATATATATATACTCAAAAGAGTAGTGCTAGCAATTGACACTCAATGAATAAATCGTACCCTTATAAAACATTCCTAAAGAAATAAGCATACTTAGACGTCATTCCACACATTAACCATTCGTAATCACTGAATGTACTATAATCAATATAATTTAGTTGATGGCAATTAGAAATATGCTTCCTATTTACTAAAGAAGTCATAGTACTTCAATATGTTAGCAGTTTTATCACATACTCAAATGTCTTCATTGACATTTGAGTACAAACCGAACCACTTGTTGAAGTAATCTATATTTTCTTTTTTTGAAAAGTCTATGTAACATGTATATCAGAAAGTAGTTACTTTCAGACTAGAACCAGCTTCCGACATAAGACATTTTGATAGACAAATACTGTTTTAAGATAATTATTTTTCAGTAAAACTTTTTTATCAATTCATTACTTTGTCTTTATTTCGAAACGAACTAATACAGTGAGATAACAATAGATTGTGTAAATATAGAAACTTATCCAAAAGCATTGTTGATTGGTTATGAAATGTTCATACTTATAGTATGTTTTACATACGTTGTAAATCAATCAAGTTTTTCTATTGAGAAATCAATTATATTTCTATAAATTATAACATGTCATTACAAATAAAAACACCTTACAAGCTTAAAAATCTTTGTTTATCAAAAAAATATTACATTCTCACTATTTGATTGGGTGTTCATATTACAAACATCACACTTTTAAGAGTTACCAACGCCATAAATTGTAAGCGTTAACTTTTTAATTGAACGAGTATTTAAGAAAAAAATACAATGAATTAAATTGTGTTTCCTTTCATCTTTATAGTAATTAACAGACTTGAACTAGAATATTTTTTTAAATACTTTTATCAGATACCTTTAAGTGGATTCTAATATAGACAAACAATTTGAATATATGGCCTTGAAACTTAACACAATGGATAGAAGAGCATTGATTGAAAAATTCCATCAAATGGATAAAAATTGTGATGGCGTTTTAACACCGTCTGAAATTCGACTCTGTGTTCAGCGATCCGGTCTACCGCCATCGAAAGTTGATGTAAGTTTTCATTAGAACTAATTAATAATAATTGTAGCTTATTGATAATTCTGAAATAATTAACTCATCAGTTATTCATATTTTCCATCATGACCACATATGATTCTATAACTAAACAGATCTGTCTGATAGTCGCTTATTTGCATTTGAATATGAAATTTATTAACAGTGGCAACTTTCTAACTTCTAACTCATGTGAACCATATAATTTATTTTTTTATTTTACAGACGTTTCAGTTTACTTGTAAAGTCATTTCATTTTGTTTTCCTAAGGTATGGTTTCGTGTTCACGAAAACTTTCTATCTTATCTGTCGGGTTCCATGAATAAGAAGAAGTTATAACATGAATAATCAAACTTACAATTCGAAAAGGCGTACTGACGAAAAAGACTTAGGATTAGAGACATAAGAATCAAAGGATCAGAGGAAGAGGTATATGACCAAATTTATAATATTCAACACGAATGTAATGAGTTCTTATTTGGTAGAGAAAGGAAGTAATATCAGTAACTCTTGGGAGAAATTTGAAATAAAGAATATTTAAACAACATGGTAAAGAATAAAGATCAATGTACACGTTAAGAATAAATGCAATTGTGCAGCTACACCGATTTCGATTAATTTAATTAAACTATCTTAATAATTGGTTATTATTAATAATCTAATCTAACAGTTGAATTCATGAGTCGATTTAAGCTAGGCCATCATTGAAAATCTGGAAGCACTGGAAATCCGTTTCTTCCTAGTACGAGACTCCTCAGCAGTGCGCATCCACGATCCCGCACAGGTATCCGGTGCTTCCAGGTTTTCCATGGTGACCTAGCTTAGATCGACTCATAGATTCAACCACAATCTCCACAAACCTCTATTCTGATATTAATCTAATTACTATATCAAAGTATTCAATAAACTACAATCATAAAGCAAACTCGTTAACGTTTACTACAATTATTTAAAACTATCATTTGTTTTAAACATTTTAGAATGAACATCCGCTTAACTATTTTATGTTACTTTTATATGACTACGCCTGACTCCAAACACTATTTTTCTAATTACTTCCTAACATACGTATATTGATTCTATGATGTGAATAATAGAAGGCTCTAACTTCACGTTATCATATGACTTTAGCCTACAAATAACGTAATCTTGAATTACTGCGTATACTGGAACTTTTGATTATGGTTAACATTTCCAGCTGTTGTATGCGTAAATATCAATATATAATCTTTCAAAATACCACCGCTAGTATATTCCTTTAATGAACTGCGAAAATCATAGTTACAAAAATTAGCTATTGCATTTTTAAAAATTGGAGAATGAAATTTTAAGAAACAAAAGATAGATAAGTGTCAGCAGACAAAAATTGATCATCCTAATCATTTTTTTTATTCACCTTCATGAATCATGTTTATCTTTTGTCGAACTGTAGACAATTGTTGATATGTATGGCATGATATCAAAAATACTTACACGCCCAATATTGTGGATTGGTTGAAGTCAGATATTATCATAAGTAGATTCCAGCTCAGTGATCTAAATGTTTAGTGTTCGTGAGAGACGAAAGACCCTGGGTTCGATTCCCACCTGTGTGATCGTAGAAATCCACTGTTTAATAGTCGCATACTAGGATGAAACGGTCGTTCAGTTCTTCCAGGTTTTCTATGGTAGTCTAACATTGATCGATTCAGAAGCTTAATAAAGACTTAACAACCCTTTACTAATAAAAAAACATTGTGAACGGAGAATTCTGAACCAAAAATGAATAAAATTTAGTTCATTTGAATTTACATGTTAAACAAAATATACTTTGATAAACTTCAGATATTAGTAAATATAACTAGATAAAAACAATAAGCTGAATTACTGAGTATATTTGGCTTAGTTTATGTAAAATCCTTTAAAAATGAAATAAAAATTTCCTTTTTTGAGTGCCATCATTTACTGTAGCTGTATGTTATTATATTACAATGGTTCATTAGCTATTAGATAAAAGAGAGGGATTACATGATAAAAATGTTCAAGGAATTTTAAGTATTACGATCCGGTCATATATTGATATAAAGGTTAAAGACAAATAATTAGAAGATAATAATTTATGGATCACAATATGACTAATTATTATTAATGTGATATATAAAAAGAAAATCTTGAATTTGACAATAACAATTGATTAATTATAATGAAAAATTATCAGAGGGTAATGATAACAAGTTATTGATTTTAAAAAAAAATAGTTTGGAAAGTATGTTAAAATCATGACAGAACGATATATTTTATGTGTTGCTTTTGAATGTGTAGCTCACATTTAACCTAATGAATTATTAAAATGTATTTAATGTACATGTTTTTGAATTGTGCACCATTTGAGTTAATTTTGTTTTACTGTGTTTGTTATTTTCAAGGATCGTTGTGTTTCCGCGATTTTTAGTTAGGCATGAAATCTAATGGTTAATCATTACATGTCTCTAATATATACTCTTTGTTAGTAAGTGATTACCATATTTTGGATGGTGGACGAAATATTCATCTTCCATCAGTAACAGTCCTATTCTTTAAGTCGATCAAATATCAGGTTTGTAGCCGTTTTAAATACCGGTTTTCATAATTATAACACGTTTCTTATAAGCAATACACCTGATGGAATTTTTGTTTGAATGAGTTTTGGCTTTGAAACCTAGTTTGATAGGCTTAAAACAAACTACAAAACACTGAAATATAGAATACGAATTATTAACAAAATGAAAGAAGTCATAGTACTTCGAAAAACATATTAACACCTTGTTAAATGAACAATTCGGCGAGGACGTAAGTACTGTTTTAATACACGTAAATGAGTTTGGTTTCATACGTTTACAACTGTTTGATCATTAAGTATTCATCTATGTTAAGTTTTTAGTTCTGATAACTTTCTGTAGATCGTTTTGCAATGTGAAAATTAGTCTAAGTTACTTAAGATCACGTGCACTTTTGCGCGAATAGTCGGATGCAACTTTAAGGAAGCTGACAAACTATTCAGAATGCCACTGACCTCGAGTACTTCAATAAGCATCAGTTCCCTTATGATTATAGGTGCACCCTGCTGATATACACCAACTTACAAGAAATTTAGATACACGATTTTCTTTCATTTATCTGTAACCACCTTACATTTCTTGAATGTTTTATGAAGTAAATTTTCACTTATGTTCACTCTAGGAAAGTTACTTCAAAATAGATGTTTTAATTATAAGAAGTAAATAACCAAGTAGATATAGCAACTCTTTAGAACAATTACCGAGAGCTAGCGATAGATTACTTAAAGTTCAAGCAAATATTTATTAATTTACAACTCGGTGATCTGTGAAAAGACCTTAAAGATTATTGTTTAATTAAATATTTTTGCATTATTAATTAATTCTGACTAAATTTACGTTACAAATATAATATTTTATTATAGTAACTATAAACTCTGAGTTAATCAAGCTTTCATATCAATTTCTGTCGTTATTATTTCAGTGAAAACATAACATTGTAATATGTTATTAAGATTATCATTTATAATATAACTAATGTTGCGAGATATTAACTTACTGAAGATAATAGTGGATGTGTCCCTCAATTTCGTCAATTAGTTGAAGTTATACATTGACACAGTTGGATGCCAGCTCAATAGTATGGAGGTTAAGTGTTCGCGCGCGAGACTGATAAGTCCTGGGTTCGAATCTCCCGGGGCTGGGTAGTGGAGGTGCACTGCTGAGGAGGAGACAGTCGTCCATTGCTTTTGGGTTTTTTTTGATGATCTAGCTTCAACTGATTCATGATCTCAACTATTGAAATTACTATAATATCTACAAAAACTCCTTCTGATATTAATGTTTTACTCTTAAGTTCTTTTTACCGTAAATCAAAACTTTCTTTCTAAAAATTATATTTACACAAAAAAAGATTCACAAGTAATGCTATGAACTAATCTTATTGTCAACGTGACAAACTGTCGTCTTTTTTTAAAAAGAAACCTATTTGTTTTTACTTTTTTTCCAAGGCATCTGTATACAGTGTTTTTGATAATCTATTTTAGTGCCTGATACTTTATAGTTAAAAATTCAATCCAAGTTATAAAATTTAATCATTTTTTAATTAACCACCTTCATCATTATTTTTTCTCTTTTATATGAAGGAATTTCTACGTTTGTTCGATTTAAGCGGTGATAATATGATTACACTTCAAGAATATATTTGTGCGCTTGGTTTACAACCACCACCGCCAAAAGAGTAAGTTTATTTTATACATAATAGATGGTAAACATTAATAATAATAGAAGAAGAAGAACAGAATTACATTTAATCTTTATTTAAATACTAATTCTCTTTTGAATCACCACTGCAGTCGTTAAGTTTTAAAACAAAATACATATTGTGCAAATTGTACACAATTAATTTTCGTAATCATAGTTTCTTGTTCTACATTTTCTACATTTAATTCTATGTAGCTTAATGTTGACAAGTACTTATTTACTTACTTACGCCTGTAAGTAAGTAAACATGATCTATATGTGAAGACTTGTTTTCGTTGAAATTTTCATTTAAATAATTCATTGATTGATTTAATATTTGTTAGTATTATTACGTTGTATTACTTATTTTTAACAACTTACCATCTATTAAATAATCAAACATTGAAATTGAGTTAGTTTTTTTATCAAGGTTAAACGTTAATACATAGCAGATTTTATAATTAAATAGAAAATTATTATTATATAAATGGTGATGAGTTAACTTAACAATATAATAATCACTGGTTAAAATCATGAGTCAATTGAAGCTAGACCACCATGGAAAACTTGGAAGCACTGGACGGCCGTTTCGTCCTAAAATGGGACTCCTCAGCAGTGCGCATCCACGATCCCGCTTCAATTGACCCATGATTTCAATCAGTGAAAATTTCTAAAATCTCCACAAAACCCCTTCTGATAATAATCATCTGTTCATTAGTGACTGACTTGAAGAGATACTCCTGGAGTTCTAGTAAGGAGCCATTACCAGTGGAGTTCAACCAGGTCTGTTGTGATATATCAGCTCACTGATGACAATGGTGTACGGTGGCGCAATTTCGTCGATTGGTTGAAGTCCGACATCAACACCGTTGTATGCCGGCTCAGTGGTCTAGTTGGTTAAGCGCCTGGCGCAAGATCGATTGGTCCTGGGTTCGAATCACGCGGGGTGCGGGATCGTGGATGCGCACTGCTGAGTAGTCGCATACTAGAACGAAACGGCCATCCAGTTCTTCCAGGTTTTCCATGGTGGTCTAGCTTCAATTAAATCATGATTTCAATCTGTGAAATTCATAAAATCTCCACAAATCCCTTCTGATAATATTTATATTTATATAATTATCAGAACGAGTTAAATGAGATTCATTTTGTATTGTTCGTTTCAATATTCCTATTAATATTTAGGACCGTAAATGAAATATGTGTGCTTTGATATTGTCTTAAGTGACACGCATTATAAACAAAGATAGATAGTGACCAGCAATGGAATCCAGAACGGGCGTTCTTTCACTGTTGGTTAAGCATTTGACTTACATTTTCTCATATATTAATGAAATAAAAATTGAAAATATGTATAAAGATTATATATCAAGTGATATCATTAATTAATTGTTCACCTTTAAATTTTTAATACTGTCAATAAAATTAAAATTATCTTTTACATTATGCTGTAAGACTTCTATATAAATTGACTTTAAAAGTTCAACTAGCCATTAATCAACTGAGTTGTTTGGTGAACTGATCACATTTAAAACTGAGCGATATGGTGAATTAGTTTTCTGAACTTTTGACAGGTCATAACGTCTGAGTGTTACCTTACCCATTAGTATAATTTTTATTCATAAGTACTGGGAAATTGTTGTTCGTTTCAATCTATCTGATGATTGTATTAATCGAATAGTAAAGTTCAATATAAACATTACTTTATTTTCTTCTTAAACTCAAGCTGTAGGCCTTTATTTATTTGTGACATCTTAAATAAAAATCGAACTCGTTTCAAATGAATGATTTACTGGCTGATCGCAAAGTGAGTAAACGAACTACACGTCTAGTGAACAAGAACACGAGTGGCGGACAATCGAATGTATATGGTAGGAAATTACAGAACTTGTTAATAAAATCTAACAATCATATAGTAAATGCCTAATTTGCTAAATGTCCATCGATTGTCTGAAAATGGCGCACACTTCATTGTTCTTGTATTTTCATTTAAAAATGGCATTCAGTTTCCAATGTTTACTGTTCGATCCTCTTGTCTCTCTGCTGCCAGACATTCTGTTCCTGACTAGCGTCATATACTAATGTCGATATAAGTAGCACACACTACACATGCATTTCATTCATTTGTTCACTCCATTTACGAATATAAAAGATTGATGATGAGGGTGTCAAACATTACTTTTGTACACATAACATAGTCTTTATCTACATCCGGTAATTCTTCACAGCTTCAATAAAAGTCATAAGATTTAAGTTTTACCAGATTAAATGGCCTTGATTTGACTGAATTTCACGTTCTTATTTAATACTATTCGTTCTAATTCATACAGATTAATAATAATGGTAATCAGTAATATTCTGTTAATCTGATAATTGTACAACTAATAGAATAAAATTACGTTTCATACATTTGTCATATAACAGAACCTGGTGTGATGTTAATTTATGGACGACCATTGAGCGACGACAAAATGACCATATGTGTCCATTCAATAACGAGGGCCAAATGAGGATTATAAACCAACGTGATGAATTAGAATTATGATTTACAGTTGATGGCTACGGTTAGGAATTAGATTTAGGGCTTTCATCATGAAACGACATCAGATATAATGCCGAAACTCTGTTTAGCCAAGTGAATGGGTGAATATCACACCAAAATCCGAGACCTGTTATCTTATACCTGATTGGTTCGTTCATAAATTATAGTCTCGTCTGATTTAGTTATGTTTTGTATGTTTTTTTTTCTTTGTTAAAACCTCTCCTTTAACGCATTTTCATATTATTTCTTATGAACTATTTCAATACTAAACATATTATTAATCATTATATAAACATTTAATACGTAATTTTATATGCTTATTTAACTAACTTCGCTTACTCTTTTTTTCATTTTACATTATAAATTCAATCTAAACATATGGAGTAGTAATTTAGTAGGTAAACTGATCGGGATTTAGTTAAAAAACTATATATTTTAACCCTATTTACGCTAGTTAGGTTAGTACATCCAAAGATCTCCACTAGCTTTCATACAGTTTGACTCAAAGTACAATAGTTGAATTTAAACTAGACAAATGATAAATTATTCAAAAATGATATGTAGCTTCAATTCAGTGACATCTATATAACTATTTTTAAGGTTTATTCCTTTTGAGATTAGTGATTAACCAGATTTACCCTTCCCATATATGAAATAGTAAAAAGAGACTTAGCTGTCAGTAGTTCATCACGATGATTACCTCACTACATCTTATCTCTATCTACAAAATGCGGAATTGGGTTAACCCACTTAAAAGCAGGTTGTCAATTAGAGTATTAAGAAAATTTCAGAGACGCATATGTCAATCACTTTTACTCTTCACCTTAGAAACATTCTGTTGAATGCATTTGATCTCTGAATAAAAAATATATAGAATAATTTAGTCTTTTACAGTATTTGATAAAAAAATAACTTCCTTTCAATCACCAGTAGTTTGAGTCAATGATTTGTTAATAAGACTATTTAATAGATAATCTTAATATATACTTTATCAGAAGGGGTTTTGTGGAGATTTTAGTAACTTCATTGTTGAAATCATGAGTCAATTGAAGCTAGACCACCAATAAAAATCTGGAAGCATCGGACGGCCGTCTCGTCTTAGTGTAGGACTCTCCAGAAGTGCACATTCACATTGAACCCAAGACCTATCAGTCTCGCGCGTGAGTGCTTTGCCTTTAAACCATTGAGCCAGAATCCAGCATGTAAAACTTGATTATTTTCTTTCTAAAAAACCATACTGAGTAATTTATCGTATAAATTTTACTGGTATACTGATTTATATATTATAATTTAATTAGTGTATTTATGTGTTGATTTAAATAAGCTAAGTAAAAATTATTTATTTTACAATATAAAGTAGATATGAGGTTATATAGTGAAATTTCATCAATAATAAATCATGATTTCAATTAAATTCATGAGTTGATTTAAGCTAGGTCACCACTGAAAACTTGGAAGAACTAGACGGTCGTTTCGTCCACAACCCCCTCTCCATTCTGATCATGATTTAAGTATTTATCAATTTTTCCTAGTTTTCTTAACGTATTGTTGTGTTCTAAATTTCTGTATTGTGTAATTTGTATAATTACTTCAGTAAATAGAAGAAAATTGGAAAAGTAATAATATTAAAATTGACTTTATTATAAACTACGACCAGCTGAAAAATTTCACAAGACCAGTTTATCAGTTGATATCACTTTGTAATCAAAAACTATCTTAAATAAACGTAGATCTCATAAAGTATCCAAGTGAAAAGTAATGGTAAGTTTAATAAATCAATATACTATTATGAATATATGTACATGTATCTTCTGACTAGTTTCATTCTAATATCATCAACTAGTTACTTGGTTTTGACAAAACAATACATAGATTATTGCTTCTAACTATAAAACTAGTACTAATATAAAATATCGAGAATAGACAAAAGAACTACTTAGAGACTCAAACAAAAAAGATGATCATCGTGCAGTGATTGAGAACACAAGTGTGGACAATCCAATGCATTTGGATATGGAAAATTACAGAACGTTTTATTAAAATCTGAGAACCATACAGTAAATAATTTATTCGTAAAATGTCAATCAATTGTCTTAGACTTGATTGTTAGTTCATTTCCATAACAATCATTTTCTGTTCTCGTTCTCTTCTCTTCAAACTTCTCTTCTTCTATGATCAGACACTTTAATTTCGATTGATGACACATACTACTTATATCTGTTGACATCAGTAGCACACACCACAATTTAACACAGTTATGTGTAGGTTGGAAATTTATTCTCATTATAAATATATAAAAGGACAAGTCAATCCTCTTGAGGGGTATCCATTGTGTTACTGACGAAGAAATGCAATACAACAAAGAATATTTTCGTTTCAACAATTTCATTTGCTTAAGCTATACAGTCGCGTTTATAGTCAATTTTATTTGCTCAAATAGTGTTTTATAATGAGGGAGT